TAAAACTATTACAAGTGAAATTTACAAGTGCAGTCATTGTTTTGGAGACTGAAAACAATAGCTACACTTGTAGATTACACTAAGTTCTTGTAAAAGTTGTATCAAATTGACCCCAGGTTGAAGAGAAATTTGAAATGTACTTCCGCAAATTAGTTAAGTCTTTTAGGGGCCCAGAAAAAGGACCTTAGCAGTTTGCAGATGTTACTAAGCAGGGTTACGTGGTAATCAGACAGCTGATTTTACCTTGTTCTGGGAATGTCAGCTCATAGTACAAGTTATTGGCCTTTCTGTATGATTCAGGCCAGTTGTAGCCTTTTCCCACAGGTCTGTAAGGCTCTTGTTTTATTCCTTCATCTTTGGCTGATAGATGTGTTCCATACACATAATACAGACGCTTCACTTTCCCATCCTTTTTGGGTCCTTTGAAAACATAGTGGAATTTAAAACTGTCATCAGGTCGCACTTCAGCATCTACAAGAGTAATAAGAATTAAAAAATTAACCATGCTGTGCATTAGTCAAGTAAATTTTCAAACAAAAATTAATAACCCCTACTGTATACTTTGCTGCAACCTTTTTGCTGTTATTCATTCAAGTCCTGCTGATCTGACTAAAACCTAGAATTTGCCTATCAGTTCCAAGTTCAACTCCTTAGCAATCCTTGTAATAGCCAACTAATTTATTGTTTGCTAGTTAGGGTTCTAGACATGGTTGTTAAATAGTGTTTTGATTTAGATCAATTGTTTGTGATTACAACGGTAAGTGTAAGCGCATGTAAGACCATACTGTTGTTTACTACAAACAAGACAGTATTTTACTTCATTTTTGCATTCACAGTTTCTATGATGTGTTTAAGTAATACTGAGTCAAATCAACTGAAGAAATAGAAGCTTGAAATAATACAAACAGGTGTTCAAAGTGAATTTTAATAATATCAGATGAAAAACTTCATTTTTGCATCCTTAATTTCTCCTTCAAAAATGATTTTGGTTGAGAAGAAATATCAAACAAAGAAGGACAATTTTTTATCAACTCTCTTCTCGCATCTGGGATGAAACACTGCATCTCATGTTTGATTTTGCAGAATGCAGGGTATTTTGCAGAATGCCGAACAACCACCAAACACCCAATGACTCTGAAGTTTAGTGATTAGGGTTAAGAAACTGAGTGGATCAAGTTTCAAGAAAGTTTTCTCGTATAATGACCCTAAATGGAACCTGATTCTCTCAGTTTCCTGACCCTAATCACTAAACGTCACAGTCATATGGCGTTTGGCAGCCATTTAACATTCTCCATTAACAAAGTCAACAAAATATGCCAGCAAATTCTTCAGGGCAGGTACCTTCACTGAAGTCATCCAGACGAGGATGATAGAAGTATCCAGTTTTCACTTTTGTGTTATCCTTTTCTCGTTTTTCATCGGGGTGTCGATAGCGCACTGTACCATGCCCCAAATCTATCAAAGCTGGTGAATCTAACATCAGTTGCTGCCAAAAAACAATACAGTCACATTACATGGCAGTTAACTCTACATAACAAAAGTAAAACCCCGTTAACAAGGACACTGAGGGGGCAAACAAAAAGTCTGTATTAATGGGGTGTCCATACTAAGCAGGTTGAATTTGGAGAAAATGTGAGGGCTTACTTTCTCGACCAGGAAAACTCTCCAAAATTACGAGATGTCTGTATTGAGCAGGCGTCTATTTGAAAACGGTGTTCAACTGTATGTAAATGCTCTTTTTTTTAATTTAAATTTTCTTTACAATACCACCCTACAAGGACAATTGCACAGTTGCTTCCAGTGCTGTTCTTCTAATATTACGCGGTGACAAAGGCTTCCGCTTCAAATAAGCGCCGCATCCTCTTGTTAAAATAAGGGGATCAAAAATGCATTTAACACATTTGAAAAGTTACCGATCAATTAATTTTTGAATTAAAATTTCACAAAATGGCCACTGATTTAGTAAAACAAAGAACTAGTCTTCGTATTTACATGATATAGCTTGTGCCGGGAACAGATAAGCAATCTAAACTTGATTTTGGACAGTTTGGCCAAACGGCCCAGAAGCAATATTTTTTTCATATAGTGCAAACTTTGAAATGTTAATTAGACTGATAAACTGTGCATGTACTCACTCCATTCTCCTTTAGCTTAGTGATGGCTTCCGCTCTTGGGCTTATCAACTCCGAACCTCTTCTATTGGCAGATACTCCGCTTCCCATAACAACTTCGCTCTCCCGAGTTTAACACACTTTTGTCCTACTTCTCGAACACACAGAGAAACGAAGCTTTATAGGACATGTATTCGCACTTTTTTTGCCTTAGCAAAAGCAACGAATTAAAAGCTACGCCCTGGGAAAAATCATTTGATTCTTCAGTCACCCCGCCATCTTGTTTTGCTGTTTACTTGGTGACCGCGGCACGACAAATAGCCTCAAGTGCATGTTACTATCCTGACACAAGCGGGGGCGGGGTAGGGAGTTGTGTCATCCCCAGTATGGTTCGTAAATACGAGCTCCCCTGAAAACGCCTGAGTGAGAGGCTACAGTATGGTAAGCACCATCAAGGGCCACAATTGCTCTTGGCACAATTCGAATGTTCATATTTTAATAGGAATTCACTCATGATCACAGACTCAAAGTTAGCCGTGTAACTTTGTGTGCAGCATTACTTGCAGCTGTACTCCACTGTACTTGTTTAAAAGGTGGATAGCTCTATTACTCCAAACGGATCAGTTTTCCCTACGCTGTAGATAACGCAATTGGTTTCCTTAGCATTTATTCAACGGATCAAGTAGTGTTATCCCAATTTTGAACAATCGGGACAGTACCACGAGAAAATGTAGGTAGCTAGCTTTCTTTTTTAGTATTCCTTATTTATTTATAACCAACAAAATATTGCTTAGTAGCTTCGGTACGTAAAAAAAGACAAAAAGAAGGCCGAATTTTGTAATTAGATAAGTTCGATCAAGAGGTCAATTAAATAAACACGATCAGAATCAGATTCGAATTTGCGTCTTTTAAAACACAGCCTATAATTGGATGCCGCCAAAGAACGCTATAAATAAGCATACATTCTATTTATTTCAAATGGAGTGGCAATTTTGTTATTGAAAAGTTGGAAATGGAAAATGAATCCAATTTAGACCAGCTGGTCCTTAACGTTTCGGATGGTGAAACGATCGACCGTCAATTTGACTACTCGTAAATAATATGTTACGATATGTTACAGATGTTTCTCTGAACACAACAAAACATATCACTTAGTGTTGCAAATGTGGCAACCGGGGAGGAAAGAGATCTGCACTTTTATATGCACTCTTGACTGCTTGGAAAGCGTGCGATTTCCGTTCGGAAATACAATTACGTTAGATATTAACAATATGCTACGCGCATATGATCGTGTGAACGGTTTATCTAAAGCGTTCTTCGTACGTGAGGAATATTCAGTTTTAAGCCAAATGAAAGGGAATCAAAGATATTGATGAACCGCAAAGTTATTAAGAATGATTCCTCTTGCGCGCGCGGCTATTGAACTTTTCCATTAATGCCTGCAGGCCAAAAAAGTATTTCCACAACGGATGGCAAAACCGGTCGGCCTGGAGCAAGCTTATAAAACTGACGCCCCCGTGCCGGGGGATTTATCGTTCAATCTTCCTCAAATAGCAAGAAAATAAAACGATCGTGACAACAACTTTTATTTTAATTTTTAATCACTTGTAGCGTGATCGACAGACCGCCCCGGACGTAAAAAGCTCGGTATTCCGTGTAATCAATTGCTTTTCTGGCGTTTTTAGCATACTAATAACGTACAACTACGAAGATGTTTTCTCTGAGTCTATCAACACCCTCGCCGTTATTCTGGCTGATAACAGGAATCTGCGTCCTTGCACAACCAGTGTAAAATCATTTACGACTTGCGGTTGTCTGTACAACGGGCAAGCGAATTGGAAAGACAGATACAGTTCTGAGATTTCCACCGCTGCTAAACAGAGAAGCGAAATATTAGATTCAGCTTGTTTTCAGATTCGTTTTCGTGCCTCTCTCACCCAAAAGTGCAAAACTGGCTGTTTATGTTTATCTTGATTACCTATGCTTTGCAAAGATTCAGCGATACCTGGAGTAAAAATTGGAACCGCATTCACCATGGCAAACTTTGCAGTTTGGGGCCTGGCGATCGCTTCCTGTCTCTTCCTAGCTCCAAGTGTTATATTTTTTAACGTTGGATTTCGATGCTCAAGATTATTCAACACAAAGAAAGATATCCTGGACAGATCTTACTGCGGCAAAGTCGACGAGGAACTTTCCCGTATTCTAATGGGAAGTGGATTTGTTTTCCTTTTGTTTGCTATTTGTACTGCGTGCCTAACACTTCATGTGTGTGCCGATTCATGGCGTACAAAAAGAGAGGAAATCAGATCAATGAAAACTGCAGCAACATTTGCTGTCTGACCCAACTTTAGGAAGATCTGTGACGAACGATTTTTTTTTGATAATCGAGAGGTTATTCCTTATCAAACTCAATTATCAAATCAAATATCATATCAAGATCATGCTTCAATACGGGAAGTTGATTGACGCATGCATTCTTTATAGTCTAGTTTGCACTAAGCGATTATCAAAACATGAACAATATTAAGAGAGTATCTTTGTCCATAAGTGGACTTTTGAATGCCGCAGGGAGTTGAAGACTTAGTGGCCTGCTGTAATGACAAACTTGGGATTTTGGCGCAAATATTCGGATTGAAAGTATATATACACTGAAGACACCGTTCGTACTTTCACTTGCTGAGATTTTTGTATTACTTTCCAGAAAGTCTTGTTTTCTAGTAGGATACAATGTTGCTCAAATTTTGTTCGTGGTATCTTTAGTTTGACAGCTTTGTTTGGAGAATTATAAAACGAGCTGAATTTAACTCCAAGCAACTAAGACTCAGTGAACCGGACCGTCAAGATTCGCAACGAGGCTTTCATGCATGTGTCCATCAAGAGGGACTTTTATTAGAGTCTTTTTTGTCAGAGCTTTTTTTGTGTGTCCGAGCGCGAACAAGCTCGAGGCTTCCTTCAGAAATTTTTATCTATTAGTTCATGCTCAATGCTATATTTAAATAACAATTTTAGCAGGTCTCATTTTTTCTGTTGGTCGTGCGCATGCAATGTAATACATATTGCATGGCAAGACTAAACGTTTTAAAGAGGAAACATTGCCTTTCATTTCAATAGAACTGATGTCAGTGACAAGGCGTAATGGGTTCCTTTTTATCAGCATATCGTAGGGTATTGATCTTAGAACAGGCATTATCCCTTTTGAATTCTAATGATAATGTCTGTATGTGACAATGTTTATATAAACTAATGGCTTACCGTGACATCCAGACTTGAGAAGAAAACATTTCTCATTATCTTTAGCCGAAACGACAGTTTTAAATTATTCGTTTATGATTTGTTTGAAGAGGTCTTCCAGGCACTCTGAAATGTCCGACCATGTAAAGTTAGTGGCCTCCAAGTAAGACGTAGTTGTATTTTTTAAGTTAAACGAAAACCGCAAAACTTACGCCAATTAATTTTCAAATATGTGTAAGCTACGTTGCTCAGTTCTCGTCATCAAAGGAAAGAATCAAAGTTAATTTATCGACGCTTTCATCAAGAAATGGTTCTCAAATACAGGAATTAAAATAAATAAATCACACTTTTGCTTCTCATAATACGGAATCAAGTGATGTTGTTGATTGTTTTATTTATTTAAAATTGAAGTATGGTTTATGCATGTAAACGCTGGGTATTTTTAGACGTGGGTGCTCTCAGGTGCATGCTGGGAAGCTAAAGCATGGGAAATGAAAGGAAGTGAATATGCAAAGACCCTCGCCAAGGTTCAGGTCCGTGCAATTTTTCATAGGCGAGATATTCGAAATGAAAAATGATGAATGGCGGACTAAACTTCTAGAAAATAATTGGATATAGATCGAGGGAGACTGGATCAGTGTTGCGTCGAATTGCACTATGGGACTATGGGACTGTTTGTAGGAATGGACCCAGTCCCACGCGTAGCGTTGAAATGGCCAATGTGCGCAGCAGCTCCTTGTAAGGCATACTCCACCCAAAAAGCTGTTTAACTCAACACAGCAAAAACAGAAGCAGAGGAGGGAAAGAATATAAACAAGCAGATAGTTTACTGCAATGTTCATAATTCTGAGAGTGCTCATTTGCTGAGGAAGAGAGTGTTAAAGGCCTACAACGCCCCTATCCCCACTAAAGCATCGATCACTGTTATCAAAAAAAGCACGTTTTCTTCCAAATTTTTCACATTACCTTCTGTTTAAACATGAAATGTTTGTCACCTTCTTACGTACCGAAAATAAAACTTTTAACAAGTTGAACTGTTTTCTATTCTGAAACTTTTATATAGCCATATACACCTATTTCAATCAAGAACCATGTTTGCCTCAGTTATGGTAAACCCTTATTGCGTTTAGTCTTGTTCACGTTCATTGAAATGTGAAATAAAACGAACGAAGATAAACAGTTTTAAATCAAGGCTGAAGAGTTTTCAACTCAAATGGCTCAGAGCGTGCTGAAAAATTTCATTTTAAAATCTCATGGTAAAAAATTAGAAGCCTCTTCTTTTAACAACATTAAATGAATAGGGTTTTACCGCCTGATAAGGCCTTTTTGCATTGATTCTTTTTATTTCAATATCTTTTTTATTCAGTTTTAAAAATTCAAAAAGATAAAAACGTTTTATATTTATTGTTGTTCAACAAACACCTTATTTAATTTTTTTAACTCCATCCAAAATTCCCATGCACGAGCGACGGAAACCACAGAAAAAACCTAACCTACAATCACTGTCTTAAATTAAAAAGCCTGGGATTCAGTGTTTTGAAATTGTCTTAATTATATGTCACAGAATTTCTATCGTTGCGGGCACATAATTTACCAGACTTACTACAATAATGCACCGCGGGCTATGAAACATGGATGATGCATCATTCTTCTCAGAAGCAACCTTAATTGAAATAGGTGTATAAATAGATCTTTGACGGAAAGTGAACGCATACTGGTTAAATAATTATATGTCACAGAATATAGAGTGCAGCCTAGACCATGTACTTATTAAGTGAGCGAGATGCATAAATGTTAGTTTATTCTTCGTTTATCAAATCCCCACCCCCTTCTCCTTTATGACAGCGAACCGCGAACCATCACAACGATAGCATTAAACTAGCTTTTAAACTTCTGTTTTTATTTTTGGCCATCTTCAGTTGGATCTGAGTTCAAGACTATCTCGGGAAAAACATCAAGAGTCTTTATTTGGCTAATTTCTATAGTTGGCGGAGACACCTGCTGTATTTTCTAAAGGAAACACAGCTAATTTCATTCCTAGCCAATCACCCTTCGCCAGATATAACAACCCAGTCTAATCAAGATCTTAGCACTTCTGAACCTGATTCCAAATTTTGAGTAGAATTAATGGATGGGTCGTATCGAAAAGAAAGGTAAAAAATATTGAAAAGTAATAGATAACATGCATTAGGGTGACGTGATGCGCGGTAAATTAAATGTGCTTCTAGAGAGTTTTGTTTACCGGTCGTACGTAAACAAAATAAAATAAATTTTAAAAGCCTCGTATGTGAAGAGCAACACACGCAGAAACGGGCTACCTAAAACCTTTCAGTTGAATCGATTCCATGCATATTATAGGATTTTCCCAAGACTTAACTGAAATGTTTAAGTCAGATGTGTGACTTCATATTCACCTGAACTACAAACGCTTATCAAGTCTACCCGACTGTTTGCTTACACCGGCCTTTATTAACTTGCAATTAGTAGGACAGCGAAATCAGTCTTTTATATGTAAACAATTTTAATAAGCCGATTCACAGCCATCTGGAATTTGTTGTCATCTAGTTCCATATTAGTCTCAAACTAATCTGACAGTAATCTGGCCGTCTGAATGCGTCCTGGCTAAATTAATTTTAATACTGAATCAGGCTCAGTATACAAGAAGGAGCGAGAAAGGCTGGTAGATTTTGACTCATCAACCAACTTGATAAACTTTTAATTCTCTTTACGGGCAGCAAATCAGCCGTTTGTAAAAGGAAACATCACAATATTTAAGCTGGATAACTTTTCAAACAAATTGCCAGTGAATTGTTCATTAACAACTACACTTCAATATTCCAAAAACGAAGGAAAACAACCTTAAGTATATTTTGTTTGAGGACGGATACAGAACAAGCACTCTGGATCAAAACAACGTTAAGAGACACTATTATCGAAGTCTGCCAGGAAAAATGAGATGCTGTAAGAAGCTTGATTTGAGCATTTGCGGCCTTCTCATCACCACAACTCTTTTTCTCTTTCCAGCAATAACATTCCTCATCATTGCCTTCGAATGCGCCCATAAAATGTATTCGGCAGGGGGAAGGAATAACAACAGTGACTCATGTGTACGCATCGACAAAAAAACCATGGTGATCTTGTTCGTCTTTGGATTTTTGTTTTTGCTTGTAGGGATTTTGGTTTGTGGATTTGCCTTCCTTATTCACCGAACAAATGGAAAAGAGAAACGACAGGAAAGCAGCAAAAGCTAATTTATTTTTCATGAGGCATCGATCGATCCCGATCGGTCAATACAGTCTGATCTTAAGGTGCTAACAACGGCGCAGATCTTAATTGGCAAAATTGTCAATGCACCATTGTGAAATTTATCAGTCGACCATTTCAGATCTATTATTTGGAATTAAAAATGCCCAAACTCTATGAATCTAAATGTACATAATTTTTATCTTTATTCCTCTTTTAAGACAAATGGCTCTTAAAAGCAATATCGGGAAAAAGGTGCACGGCAAACAAATATCTTCTTTATAATTAGTGGATATAACTTATCGCATATATGCAGTACTGACATATGTCAAATATATGTACTATTGAAATATGCTTATGGAAAAACAATTAGCATAAAACACCTGTAAAATACACAAAAGGGTGATATACACAGTTTTTTTTTCAAATTTACATCAAAGTAATGAAGTAACTAATTATAGGCGACCTCAACTTTCAATTTTGCTTACTCTCTGGCAATTTTCACGTTTAAGGGGAAACACATTGTAATTGACTCTAATAATGTTTTATCAGATAATAACAGAATTGTACTTATAACTCGTACATTTTTGGAGCCAGTGTCTTAGCTTTGAATACACCGCCACCTGCTCCTCGTAAATCTACTTGCAAATGGACCAAACAACTCCCAACATTGGTGGGCCAACAATGTTAGGAGTTATTGCGTCCATGTTGGCAGTGATGTGCAAACAGATGCAACAACTCCTAACAATGCTGGGACATGCAGTGCATCGTGGGAAGGATACAACCCATAATACTTTGGAGACCAGGTGTAATGCGCATGCGTGACCCCAATAGTGTTGAAAGAGCAGTGCAAACGGCAACATTGCAGCGCTAAGCTTCGGCGATCAGGAAAGACAGGGAACAAAAGAAATTTGGGGATTTTTTGGCTCAAAAGTTTGACTGGGTTGAAACCTTGCGCAACAATTCCCAACAACACGCAACAACAAGCAACAACATGCAACAGGGTGTGCACACGGACATGTGCCTCCGCTTCCGGTTTTTTTGTTGTTGATTGACATGAACACGCGACAATGAGACACGAACATGTGTTTTGAGTCTTTGCGCTGAGGATAGTGTTCGCGTTTTGATAGTCGACTTCTCGATAGGACGCAACATGTAACATCCAACAATGCTGGGAGTTGTCGGCCAACAATGTTGTCTCCTTCCTACGGGGCCAAGAACTTGCTGACAAGGAAGCAATTTGTCAAGTTTTCCGATTACCACGAGAAATTTAGGCATGGTTATCAGCCGCTGATAGGGAAATGAGCCCACGCTCTTCCCGCCCTCCTCCTCCGCTCTCTTCTTGAGATGGACACGAGAGAGCGACGGAAATCGTCGATCCCACAAGCAAGTCCTTTAGGGAAGATTTTTCTTGT